GAGAGAGAGAGAGAGAGGAGAGAGAGAGAGAGATGGGGGATGAGGGGGGGAGAGAGAGAGAGAGAGAGAGAGAGAGAGAGGATATCAGAGAGAGAGGGTGGGGGATATCAGAGAGAGAGATGGGGGATATCAGAGAGAGAGAGAAAACAGGTTTTTATAAATTTTTGCAAATTACATAAGTATTCAGACCCTTTGCTATGAGACTCGAAATTGAGCTCAGGTGCATCCTGTTTCCATTGATCATCCTTGACATGTTTCTACAACTTGATTGGAGTCCATCTGTGGTAAATTCAATTGATTGGACATGTTTTGAAAAGGCACACACCTGTCTATATAAGGTCCCACAGTTGGCAGTGCATGTCAGAGCAAAAACCAAGCCATGAGGTCGAAGGAATTGTCCGTAGAGCTCCGAGACAGGATTGTATCGAGGCACCGATCTGGGGAAAGGTACCAAAACATGCCTGCAGCATTGAAGTTCCCCAAGAACAGTGGCCTCCATCATTCTTAAATGGAAGAAGTTTGGAACCACCAAGACTCTTCCTAGAGCTGGCCGCCTGGCCAAACTGAGCAATCGAGGGAGAAGGGACTTAGTCAGGGAGGTGACCAAGAACCCGATGATCAATCTGAAAGAGTTCCTCTGTGGAGATGGGAGAACCTTCCAGAAGGACAACAATCTCTGCAGCACTCCACCAATCAGGCCTTTATGGTAGAGTGGCCAGACGGAAGCCACTCCTCAGTAAAAGGAACATGACAGCCCGCTTGGAGTTTGCCAAAAGGCACCTAAAGGACTCTCAGACCAATAGAAACAAGATTTTCTGGTCTGATCAAACCAAGATTGAACTCTTTGGCCTGAATACCAAGCGTCAGGTCTGAAGGAAACCTGGCACCATCCCTACGGTGAAGCATGGTGGTGGCAGCTTCATGCTGTAGGGATGTTTTTTCAGCGGCAGGGACTGGGAGACTAGTCAAGATTGAGGGAAAGATGAACGCAGCAAAGTACAGAGAGATCCTTCATGAAAACCTGCTCCAGAGTGCTCAGGACCTCAGACTGGAGTGAAGGTTCACCCTCCAACAGGACAACGACCCTAAGCACATAGGCAAGACAACGCAAGAGTGGCTTTGGGACAAGTCTCTGAATGTCCTTGACTGGCCCAGCCATAGGCCGGACTTGAACCCTAGCGATTATCTCTGGAAAGACCTGAAAATAGTTGTGCATCGACGCTCCCCATCCAACCTGACAGAGCTTGAGAGGATTTGCAGAGAAGAATGTAATCGCTGCCAAAGGTGCTTCAACAAAGTACTGAGAAAAGGGTCTGAATGCTTATGTAAATGTGATATTTCAGTTTTCTATTTTTAATACATTTGCAAACATTTCTATAAAACAGTTTTTTGCTTTGTCATTATGGGGTATTGTGTGTAGATTGATGAGGGAAAAAACAATTTAATAAATTTTTGAATGAGGCTGTAACGTAACAATGTGGAAAAAGTCAAGGGGTCTGAATACTTTGTGCGAATTCTCTGTAGATGGACTATAGGTTACTAAGCTGAACCTGGATGAGATGGCAGATCACAGTGGAGGATAGAAGCATCCGCATCATCGAGGAAACATCTGAGATCTTATCAAGAGTGTTACTGTTGCATCACGCTCACCACGAAGACATGGTGAAATAGTGTCCTTCTAAACTAAAAGAAGAGTGTGTGAGCGTGCTGTGAGTTTAGTGATGACCTCCAACATTAGACTTCTGCCTCTACACAGCTTTGTGCAGCATAATGTTCAACAAGCCTTTTAACAGACAGCTTTAGTAAGGCACACCCACTAACCAACAGCTTGAGAATGATGTTATTGTCTGAGATACTAGAACCGGTAGGGTGAGCGGTGTAAGTTAGTTAGTCAGTCAGTCAGTCAGTCAGTTAGTTATTTGTCGCAGTTAGTTAGTTAGGTAGTTAGTCAGTCAGTCAGTTATTTGTCGGTCAGTTAGTTAGTTAGGTAGGTAGGTAGTTAGTCAGTCAGTCAGCCAGCCTGCCAGCCAGTCAGTTATTTGTCGGTCAGTTAGGTATTTAGTCAGTCAGTCAGTCAGCCAGTCATTTAGTTATTTGTCGGTCGGTCAGTTAGTTAGTTAGCACATGCTCATGTACAACACATAATATAACAAAGTGATGATGACTTTGTATCAATAAACACTTTTTGATAAACAGGATTATTTTGTGAGTAGCACTTTCTTCTTACAGCAATATCATTAGTGTTGTGTATTGTGCAAAATAGCAGCAGCTGTGTGTATGTCAGTAATAGTATTCTTGGCATAGTGTTATGTCTCATTCATCGTCTGTGTCTGGTGATGTTTAGATCATACAACTACCGAAGACAGGAAGTTACTACTGTATATCAGGAAGTAAATAGGAATTGTATTAATATGTTCAGAACAGAAAACGCATCACCAGAGAGAGAGATGGAGATAGTACGAGAGAGGGGTGTCGTGACGTGACTCACTTTAATGTATCACTGTTATTTATCGAATCACCTAACTATGTTTAATTGTCACTCGATTAAATTAATCATGTAACAATTAACTCATTAAGAATTTGGGGCACCACGGAAGAAGTTGTTTAACGAGTTACCATCTCCCGTATTAAACTCTTAGAAGAGATATGTTATATATCGGTGACAGTCACTTATTAAATAATTACCTCTTATCAGTCTCATTCTGAACGTTGCATAATCCTTGAACCTGCAAGTACCCCGAACCTTATTGATGAATCAGCAATACACAAATTGGCTTAATTATTTATTTATTTACTAACTAACTAAATAATAACACAATACAAACACACAGAGGTTATTGATTACTGACGTAATACAATGAAAATAGGTCCCTAGAGGACTGGACTGACAATAGCATGAATGCTTGGGTAGAAGGAGGGTCAGAGTGGAAGGGAGAGAGAGATTCAAACTATCTTGGTTACTTTGGAGACTACGCTCACAGTAATCATAATACTTATGCGCCTAATACCGCTCATTCGGATTAGAAATTCAACATGTATTTACGTGTAGCTGGCCTCGATAGTTGAGTTGATGATGTAGGACTCTGGTTTGCCAACCAGAGATCCCAATGTCCTTGGTAGAGTTTCTGGTCGTAGTAGTGGTTAGAATGGATACGTCAGATGTACCAGCGGTTGTCTGAGAGGGATTGTCCTCTCCTCTCTCGTGTCTTTAGTGAAAGTTCTCTAGACGACTATACATGCCAGCTGCAGACTGAAATGATAAGGTCTAGTGCATTGTCTTCTTCACCTCGTGTAGAGGTTGAGAGTTTCAGAGTTTCTCCATTTCAAACGTGTGGACTAACGTCTCACGTTTTCTGGTCTTTCTGGTCTAACCATTTTGTAACATGTAGCTTCAGCTTCACGCTTCTTGGTCTTGTAGAAATTCAACCATTTGCAACATCCGGTTTATACCGTAGTATGCTTGGTCTTCCTTTGGTAATGGAGTTGTAGTTTTAAACCATTTTGTAACGTTTAGCTCACGCTTCACGTCTGCTGGTCTTGTTGAGTGTCATCCATTTTAAGCCGTGGACTTCCTGGTCTGGTAGAAATTCAACCATTTGCAACGTTTAGCTCACGCTTCATGTCTGCTGGTCTGAGGTGAATTTCGTCACAAGGCTTTTTATGCACTTGGGGTAAAATGGTGTTCCATCATGTTCATGCTCATCTGTTTTCCATATTGATTTGTTCACTGACTGAGAACAAATCAATATGGAAAACAATCATCTCATCTAGAATGCTAAAATCACATTGTTATCTTCACAAAAGTATTATTATACTTAATAATTTGTTTTATACAACAATTAGATGCAAACCTCATAACTGGGAAGTGTACCCCCCCCCAGAGATACAGTTATGTTGTTCCACCGTCTTTAATGACATCACAACATAGTAACGAATTTGACATTATTGTTCTTTAAGTCCCCACCAACCATTTCCCACATTCTTTTAAGTAGGAATATTGTTTCATTATCCACTTTTGGATGTTGGAGTCTTGGCGGGAAGACTTCCTTTGTTAACAAAGGGGTCCTTTCTCCCAATACTTCATGGCAAGGAAGAGAAAGTCTGCACGGTATTTAAAGACTGGTCATAAAACTCGCCCCCAGGAAAGGGGGTGTTCAAACCTTTGCCTGGCAGGCATGTTTGATCCTCAACCCATGAGGGCAAGTCATGACAGGGGGGGAGTTGTTACAGTAGATTATTGTTAAACCATTTTCTCACAAATCCATTTACGGGTTGTGCCACAATTTTAAATCATTCCACGTCTTAACAGGGTCTTTCTTGTCCGTAGTATATCCTCAAAACAGGCCTCCTTCCCACGGGCATCATCAGGCTGTCCTGCCCCACAGCAGCTAGAGGGTGACCAACACGGAGAACCAGTCAGACACTGTGGTAAAAACATTGTCCTAAATGATAGCCTGCACATATTCCTATGTTTTTCAGCTTTAAAGCCACACTCTGTCAGATGTACTCTACAGACCATCATCAAACACAACTCTTTCCATTACGTTTTCATGTGAAAATAGTACTAGGTTTCTATGGTACATCTACAGCTCATTTAATTATATCTATGAGAGAAAACATTTTTATAAACATGACTGGAAGCAATACTCTCTTTTATATTTTTTTATTTTTTACGTCTCCATATCACAACCTGATAGTTAAATCTCTCACCCTGTGGTCAGTGGTCTCCCGTCCACCCATTTCCAGGTCCCCTCTTCATCTCTGTCAGTCAGACCGATCCAGGCTTTTTTTCCTTGATGTTGAAGAGAAACTTCTGTTGTTGAGAAAGTTAAATATGTCAACTGCAATAATGTGTAAAATACTGGAAAATAAATTACTGACCAAGGGATGTTTGATCTGGTCTCTCTCTTTAGTCCGGTTGTTGTATCTGGTCTGTAGCTGGTCTCCCTCTTCAGTCAGTCCGTTATCTGCAATGACAACAAAAAGTTGCTCAATAAAAA